TTCATCTTGTTCGTACGACCCTTGGCTCGACGAGGCGAGCCGTCGGGTCAGCTTTTTTGTATGGGGAACAAAGAGTCCGCCGCGCCAGAGCCCCTTGACGCGGTAAGGCCACCGTTACTTCCCAATGCGGCCCGGTGTTGGGAAGGCTCCGTTAGAATACAGCCGAATTTACCTCCTGGCTGCAAATCATCCAATGGGCACGGGAGTCGCATAACACCCTGGATTAGGAGGTGGCAGCTCTTGGTTGTCGCACGCATACGGCCTCTGACAACCAGTGTGAGGGTGCAAGCACCGCTCGCACCAGTTGGGAGATGCCGAGGATGCCTTGCGACTTAAGCCCCTGCACCACGGCAAGGTGCCTGCCATTCGCAGAGGTGTATACCAGCACAGGTCGAAGAGCAGGATAAAACTAAACCTGAAGCGGATGACTCTTTGCAAGAAGGTCCAGAGTTGGAAGGTGTAATGAATAAAGCGAAGTTGAACCAATGTACAACGAGTGGAGAAATAAATTCAGAAAGCTCAGCTGTGGGGCTGCTTGCATCGAGTATGGAAAAGCGAAGATGAGCAAAGATCTCGAGCCCTTCTGGTTGTTCCGAAGGTTAGAATTCCTGAAGTACCTAACGTGCTGTACAAAAGTCCAAGTGAAGGGCACTTGATTGAGGGATCAGAAAAACAATGGAGACATTAAAGAACAGCTTTTATTTGACTGGCTGTCTTCAATCAGCTATATGGAAGATTGCGAAATGTGCTGAGTGCATTGTAGCTAAAGGGTCAAAGTCCAGGAGTCATGGCCAGATGAAACAGTACAATTGGGTGCGCTAGTTGAGCGAATTGGTGTGGATAAAGATGGTCTGTTTTCATCAATAAATTAGGAAATAGTTATGTTTTCGTAGTCAAGGGCCATTTCAACGAATGGCCAGAAGTATACCCAATTCCTAATCAAGAGGATGAACCAGTGGCGGACGCATTCATCAACAAGTGGGTAACGAGATTCGGGGTTCCAATGGAGTTAAGTTCTGATCAAGAATGGAATCTTAGGTCAGCTTTAAGATGATGTAACAGAAACTGAGTATCGTAGAATAAACGGATGGAATTAACTCCAAGAAGAGAAGGACGGCTAAGAAAGTTAGCACCAGTCTAGAAGACGGGATGATAGACAAAAGAGCTTTGTGTTTGAAATTAAAGTTTATATTTTCGAAAACAATTTCTAAGATTTATTTTATACGTTAACGAAAAAGTAAATGTCTTTTTTTGTGTGTCTGTGTTTTTTCTAAGATTAATTATTACTAAGGTAAAAAGTGCACTATCCAAAGTAGTAATCTATTGTATTTCTGAAAACAATTTCTAAAATTTATTTTATAGATTAACGAAAACGTAAATGTCTTTTTATGTTGTCTATGATTTTTTAAAAATTTATTACCAAGGTTAAAAGTGCTGAAGCAATTGTTTCTGCATCTCCAAATCAGATACGCATATTATTTGCTATCATCATTTCGACATGCTTCCCATCGAACCCACGTTACCTGTGGAACAAATACAAAGATAACATCTCAGAAGACATTTTACATCGAATTCGTGTCAGCACAAGAAATCCCGATATTGACGCGAATGAGGAGATGCATAACCAGGCTTTGCTCTTGATCGAAGATATCTGTTACCTCATTTGCGGCAGTTTTTTAGTCAGGTTAGGAATGCCAGCGCCCGATCACGGAATGAATGACGCATTTAATAGAGAATTGAAACGTGAAGTAAATACAATCAGTTCGAACGAATGTACTACTGTTGAGTCCTAAACAGAGAGAAGTCTATGATACATTGATTAATGCAATTGATGATGGAAACGGTGGCTTATTTTTTCTGGATGCCCCTGGCGGAAATGGAAAGACATTCCTCATGTCCTCAGTTGCTTCTTCTGGAATTGCGGACACATTGTTAGACGGATGCCATACGGTTCACTCAGCGTTAAAATTGCCATTAAACCTTCAAACTAGTGAATAATCGACATGTAACCTTTCGAAACACTCCGCAATGACCAAAGTTTCAGTAGTATCAAAAATCATAATATGGGACGAATGCACAATGATGCACAAACGCGCATTGGAAGCTCTTGAACGAACATTAAAAGATCTAGGCAATGACTCGAGATGTTTTGGTGGTGCAATGATTTTACTATCTGGCGATTTCCGACAAACACTACTAGTCATTCCAAGATCTACTGCTGCCGACGAAATCAACGCTTTCCTCAAAGCATCAAATCTGTGGCGATATGCAAAGAAACTTCAACTGTCAGTAAATATGAGAGTTGCATTCTCCAAGTAATTGCTAACTATCGGTAATGGCCGTGTTCCTGTTGACGAATCCGTCGGATTGATTTCGTTTCCTCCAAATTTTTACAATTTCGTCTCATCGAAAGACGAGCTTATCAACACAGTATTCTCAGATATTATTGCTAACCACAAAAATACTAAACGGTTAAGTGAGCGAGCAATTTTGGCGGCTAAAAATAAAAATGTGTCAAGCTGACCTAAATATTATAATTCAGAATCAAATCGTAGGTACTCTGTATTCTTTCAAATCTATCGACTGCGTAACGAACGAAGATGAAGTCACTAATTATCCAACTGAATTTTTAAGCTCCTTGGATGTGCCTGGTTTACCACCACACAATTGGCAACTGAAGGTTGGCTCGGTAGTCATCATGCTTAGAAATTTAAACCAACCAAAACTGTGCAATGGAACACGTTTGGTGATAAGAAAACTGATGAGCAATGTGATTCACGCATTACTCAAAGGAAAATTTAAAAATGAGGAAGTTCTTATTCTAAGGGTTCCGATGATCCCAACGGATATGCCCTTTGAATGCCATGACGATTAACAAATCACAGGGCCAATCATGGTCTATTTGTCTCCTCAATATAGAAAATGCATGTTTTTCTCATGGTCAGTTGTACGTGGCATGTTCACGTGTCGGTAAACCATACGCTTTATTTGTTCATGCGCCTGACAAAAAAACAAAGAATGTCGTTTACTACAAGGTGCTTGAATGAACAGAGTTAATCCGAGTGCATCACATGCTACACAACATACTATAATTCAATCTTTTTTTTTCTGGCACGTGTTTGAAGTACATAATTTTTATTTGTATTCTTTTTCTGTATGTATTGTTGATCATAATAAAATAATTTTATATATCTATCTATGTTCATATTTATTTTGTATCATTGTATTACGTTCATCAAAGCCTAAATTAGTTCAGCTAAAAGGTAACACGACATTAATTGACTGTTAGGCGGTACGAAGTTCGTAGTATATATATGTATAAATTCATGAATGTAACGAAATATTCATATTCCCGACAATTTCATGGCATTGGTTTGCAAAACTATGAGATCAGATGCCGTTCCAGGTCGAAAAGTTAAAGTGAGGTAGTAGAGAAGTGTGAGTGTATTGCAACTTGAAAGTAATTTCTTAATTGGGTACGGAACACGAAGAATTGAAGTTGACAACGTTTTGGGGCGTTAAATTGATTTGTGGTCACACATGCTAGTAAATCGTTGGCAGTAAAGAATACGAATTATTACTGCCAATCCTAAAAAAAAGCAACAGCTGTAAATCACTGTCAAAAGTTCCTCATGCCCATACATTTTATATGGTGCATACCTAAATAGCGCGGCGGCAACGCTGAGTGGTTAAAAATCCGATTTTGACAGCGCGTTACGAAGTAAAGTTGGCTGCAGAAAACGAAAAAATTGTGCATTGTCTGCAAAATTTCTGGATTTCTAATGCTTGTTCAAATGGATGTAAGTATTATTAATAAATTAATTCGCTTGATATTTCATTCCTTTTGTACTTATTTTAGAAAATGATAATTTGATATAAAATGCCGCTTAATTTAGGGATGCCGTGTCGGCGTTAACGCAGAGCGGTAAAAAATGCTCGGCTCAAGGTTTTTATTTAGGTATGCCAGTTGCCGAAAATTCAAACTGGAATAAAACATTCTAAGGTGTCATACCTGCAAGTGCAAGTTCATTTCACAATTTTTTTCACGGGCGAAGGTACTTGCACTTACATATACCATAAAATCTGATTCAGCTTTCGTTGGTTCAATGCCCTTTTTTTCAAGTTCCTTATCTTTGGTAATTAATCGTGTTTTGGCAACTTCTTGGATAAAAAACTACACAAAAAGGACAAAATTAGGGGATTCTTTCTTGGTTGAAATACATACCTATATATATATTTTGTTTAAAAATAGTCTGCATTGATTTAACCAATGTTGCACATAATGCACCTTAGGATGTAGTATTTCATTTTTATACTCATACTATTCACAACTCCGTATTATCATGTTCCCACCAAAAATTTTAAGTGATAAGATTATATTTATGCCTCGGCAGTTTCACTCCACACTACTCTCCATTTTTATACTCTCGCAACCTGTTGCTACAGAGTATAATAGTTTTGTTCACCTAACGGTTGTTTGTATCACCTAAAACTAATCGAGTTAGATATAGGGTTATATATATATATAAATGATCAGGATGAAGAGACGAGTTGAAATCCGGGTAACTGTCTGTCCGTCCGTCCGTGCAAGCTCTAACTGGAGTAAAAATTGAGATATCTTTATGAAATTTGGTAGACATGTTCTTGGTACCAGGAGACGGTTGGTATTGCAGATGGGCGTAATCGGACCACTGCCACGCCCACAAAACGCCATTATTCAAAAACAAATAAATTGGCATAACTAAGCTCCACAACAAGATATAAGACTCTTATTTGGTATACAGGATCACAATAGGGAGGGGCATCTGCAGTTAAAATTTTTTTTAAGTGGGCGTGGCCCCGCCCCTAATAGGTTAATGTGCATATCTCCTAAACCGCTGATGATATAATAACAAAATTCACTGGAAGCAAATGTTTTTAGAACCTCTACCTACAGTGTGAAAATGGGTGACATCGGGTGGCAGCTCCGCCCACTCCCCATATAACGGTACTGTTAAAAACTACTAAAAGCGCGATAAATCAAGCATTAAACACGCCAGAGACATTAAATTTTATCTCTGGGATGGTATGAGATGACTTTATAGGAACCGCGTTCAAAATTAGACAGTGGGCGTGGCACAGAAAATGGGTTAAATCGGACTACAACCACGCCTATTTCCCATATAACACCATTTTAAATTCCATCTGATTCTTTCACTTTCCCCTATGCATATCAATCAAGCAACAATGATTATATCGGGGTAAAACTTCGTTTAAAGTATGCCACCTTGTGACCAAAAATTGTCTAAATCGAACCAAAACTGTTCAAGCCCCTAAGTACTAAATATGTGGACCCCAGTGCCTATAGTTGACCTTCTACCGAAAATATCACTGACTTTGATTTTGCGAGAGTATAAAATGTTCGGTTACATCCGAACTTAGCTCTTCCTTACTTGTTTTATACTATTTTCTGTATTTTTTTTTTCTTTGACAGTTTGTACTGTCTAATCTACTCAACAGCCTGGCCTGAATCTCGTGGATTAAGTATCGGTGTGAACATGGTGTAATGTTGGTAAGAGCTAAAGCGCAATGTGATTGGTATTGCCGCAGCTTCGTGGCGTTAAACGCAATTCCCATGTGTTTAAATAAGGGATATGCTTATTCCGACAATGAAATTCAAGTAAAGATACACAATTTGATCAATAACTACAGGTAACTTCATATAATATGCATATTTATTTATATATAAAAAAGTCTTTAAAAAATTAACCTATTTACAGAGATGAAAAGAAATCAGTGGGTCCTTCTGGTGGCAGCCCGTCGACTTGGTAATACTATAGAAAAATTAATGGTATTCTCAGAGGCTATAAAAGTTTTAATTTGGAAACCTTGGTGGGGAAAGCACAGGTTAGTGAAACAAGACAGAACTTTGAAAAGTTTGTATTTATTTTTGTAAATTAATTTATTACAGTTCACGAAGTTGTGGAAGATTATGAATCATCGTTTAAAAGCTCTTCGCTGATTGGAATCGATTCCCAGGAAGAATTGTCGCTTCCAAAGGATGAGGCCTGCAAAGAAAAAGAAAAAAACAAATGTATCAGTGAACATTCAAAATGAATTTTTGGAGGAATTCCGGGTGGCAAATAGAAGAATAGCGACAGAAATTGAAGCAATTAAAGAGGATGGCAAGGAGGTCCTGCAAATTGAAGGAGAGAGAAATACCATCTTCGAAAAATTTCTGGAAGCATTAGGCCTTTTTGTGGCCTTTTCCACCGATATATCTCTAAAAACATGCGATTTGTGATTAACACCACGAAGCTGCTCTAGTCCAAGGGAAGTTCAACTTCTTTCTAATAAACTAAGAAATTCACTATTTAAATTTTAAGTTTTTAAGTTTAAGTATTTTGTTTTGTTAATGAATTCAACTTGTTTCGTTGTTGAGATAAAATTGATTTACAGTAAATAATAAAATAACAAAAAATTAACTGAATGTAAATGAAAAATTTAACTGATATAAGAAATTAAACTTACATAGAAATAGAGCTATTGATTTTCTGATGTTCTCTGCATTATTGTCATTAGTTCCTGAAATTAATAACGGATCTGGTTGCTCTCGTGTGCAAGCGCTTTCGAAATTTGTTTGCATTTGCAACCATTTCATTTAAAAATTATGCAAGATGCAAGAACATTTTATTATTGTTATTGCGTTTTTAATATCGTTGTCAATTCATTTTCCTATCTTTCTAAACTTGCTTTCAGATGTTCAAATGCGGTCTCCACAACCCTTCCAGATTTAGATAAGTGGTAATTGAAAATAAACTCGTGATCCTCAGTGGCAGGATTATAGGGATAGGGCTTCATTAGAAACGGAGTATAGCGAAATGCTGAGTCCCCAAGAACATCAATGGGAACTTTAGTGTCACACATTTTTTTTGCATTCTCTTTAAGCAGAGGGTTTTGCAAAATTCTTTTCAAGCGATTTTTCAAATATTGGAGAATTGGTTTGTGATATAAAAAATATGAAATGAAAACTCGTCATTGTAAACTATTTAAATATCTTGAGAAAATTACATCTATTGTCGTACCTGATCTGGTTGTTGCGTCTTTGGGAGAATTCTTCATTTTTAAATTAAATTAACTAATCTAAAATTTGTACAAGTTGTTAAGGTTCTTCCAGAGCAAAATTGACATTAATTAAACTTCTTAAAATCATTGGCATGGTGTGCAAATCTGGTCCTAATTCTGCTACACTAGAGGGAGTATATGCCAATAATGTTCTATGTATGAATTTTATTATATCGTTAATTCTCTGGTTCGGAGTGATGTAGAGAACAATCATTGCCACACTCTGTCCGCTTTCTATGACAATTTTGGCCGCACAAATATCTCCAACTGCAGCAGCATTCACAGCCAACCAGTTAATTTGTTGTAAATTCATATCCATATGTGGAGTGACAATATTTATTCTGTCAGTGGAGTTATGGTAGACAGTTACCCCACCATCTCTTACATTGGGACGTTTGAAATGGACGACACAATCGAAGTTCGGCACATCCACAGCTTCTTCATTATTTATCCATGTTTCCGACAATAATAAAGTATTCGCTCGTGTTCGTCAAGTCTACTGCGTGAACCCGTAAAGAATTAACATTATTATTAACATTTCCTGTCGCTTTTTCGTTTCATTCGATAAGCGAAGCTATTTTTTTTCAAAAGGAATATATTGCCTGTATCTCGTATTACGTTTGCCAATGTTTTTGAACTCATTACACAAAATTATGAATGATTCCCGACTCATCCCGAAGCTTTCCTAGAAAATTTGGTCACTATTGCAAGCAACGTCGAGCTCCTAAAAATTACTGTACCTTTCCTACAATACAACATCAAGCAGATAAGTTCTTTTGGAAATTTAATAAAAAGTGATGTAATTGTTTACGTGTTTCCACACACGATTTGGTCTATTATTATTTAATACAAAATGCAATAACGCATTTTCAATCTGTGTTGTCGTCTTTTCCGTATTCTTGCCAACTTTTTATTTCTGGCAACAATCTGCGCAATTAAGTATACAATCGCCTTCTCTGTTTCTTCCATATCTTTAAAATTTATAATTTTTCCGGTCTTTTTTTTTTGTTTTCAACGCTTTTATTAATATTATATTTAGCTTCACCAAGAAGAGAACAAATTCAACACATTTGTCATCTGATAATCTCATTTGATGTTTTTGAATAATATTCTTTCCACAAATGGGCATGTTTATGTGTTTATGATTATATGAATGCTTGTTGTGTATGTAAACTATTTTGCTTTTTACTGGCAGCATGTGTAAAAAGTTTACAGTGTTTGGAATTTTCTTGTTAGATAGAAAAGTCCCTGCAGCCCAACTAGCGGTTAAATTACCAGTTATTTACCCAAAAGCGCTACGAGATATCAGTCCTTTTCTTATGCACTGGCGCTATGCCTTGCACAGCGTTTACAGACGTACTAGTCTCCGCGTCAATTTTTTGAATTAAATTGATTGTATTGTATACTGTTATGGCCCATTCACATACAACTTTCTTCGTTTTTTACTTAATAATTCATATTTTAACAACAAAGCGAAGAAAGGAAAGGGTATGTCAGAATGCTACTCCTTAATAGTAATGGCGACTGTTGCTTGGCAAAGCGTAAAAAAATGAGAGCTGCCCAACATTTTTCTTCGCTTTGCTGCGTATCGCTTTGATGTAAACGTAGTCATACAAAAGTACATCTCGCACGTGTTGGCGTCCAGCTAGAATAATGCACATATTGTCCTTAATAAATTAATAGAGAGGTGGAATGGGTAGAAATAGATGAGTTGAAAAAAGGCATTTCGTTGTACGAAAGCTACTTTAGGATATATTACAGATTTTTTGCTTTTTTCAACTTGTTCTGCTCTATATCTATTATTGTATAAATCTACAATAATAGCTATTCGAGAGACACAGCCATTTGTAGAAATTTATAATTAGATCTATATCTTGATATCAATCTATATATATAAAATAAAGTCGGGTTTGCTACAACACTTATAACACGAGATCGGCTAGACCAATTTTCATGGTTTTTGGTTCGTTGGATCCCCGCCCCGAATAGATACATCTTAAATACATCTTAGAATACATCTTAAAAATAATGAAAACTCGACGAAAACATAATTATAAAAGATGAATCACTTTCCCTAAATGTTACTTTGTTTCGTACCTGCCAAAAATTTGTTGCCCATCCTGTCAAATACTATAAGTAATGGTTGAAATGCGTTCTCTAAACTATTGTCTCTGTCTCGAAAGTTCAGGTTCTCTTTAAATTTGTTTCCAAAGAGTAAATTTGTTTGTTTTGTGTGGTTTTGTGCGAGTACATATTCAGTATTACTATTCATAATAATGCCGCGTCCTAGCAGATCAAATTTTTCCCAGCGAAGCCGTAATGCAATTAGGCAACGGAACATCGCAGCATTTCTATATGATTGCACCATCGACTACAGCTTGTATCGTTTAGTTAGCATTGGTCCAATGGACGTTGCTTGCCAGAATTGTGGCGTATTGAAATTTGCTGGTGAAACGTCTGTTTTGTGCTGCCTTAGTGGCAAAGTGAAATTGCGTTTATTGGCTCCGCCACCAGAGCCATTGTGTTCCTTACTTTATGGCGAAACACCAGAATCACCACATTTTCTAGCGAACACTCAAAAATACAATGGCTGCTTTCAAATGACTTCATTTGGAGCAGAAATTGTCGAAGAACACGTATATAATCCGACAGTTAAGGTAATTTATGTTAAAGACTTTATTTTCTGTGATGGTAAAAAATTGTTGGAATGTAGTTTGTTAGATTTCTGTATTTGTCTCTAAAACAAAAATTTCATGTTACCATTTGAAAATAAAAGTGATTGTAAATCTAACTATGCCTTTGACTTTACAGATTCAAAGCCAAATTTACCATCGCATTGGATTATTGCAACCTTTTGAAGATGCACAGCATACATTCCTGCAAATATGCTTCATGGGCAATATGGAAGAACAATTTGACCGGCGTCAAGCGATCAACACAGCTATGAAAAGAGCAGTTCTCCAAGATCTGCAGCAACTGCTTCATGAACTTCATGCATTGGTCAGGCTGTTCAAGACAGTATTAGAGCGCATGCCAAGTGATGATTATAAAGTTGTGATCAGAGCAGATATATGACCAGCTGGAACACATGAACGCACATTTAATGCTCCAACAATCGATGAAGTAGCAATCGTGATTGTTGGTGAAAGCTTGGAAACACGTGAGATCGTACTTACACGACGCAATACTAGGCAACTACAAAAAATATATGAAACACACCGTTCATATGACGCATTACAATACCCCCTGATGTTACGATGATGGATATTACTTCAATATCTAAATGATTATTCTATTGAATGGTAAGCATCAATATCATAGTTTTCATTTTAACTTAATATATACATTTTATTCTGCTTGCTTTTGGTACCAAAAAATGGTCACTACTAATTTAGCAGAGAGTAGCTGTAAAAGTTGTTAACCCTATTAGGGGTTGTTGGTTTAGAAAATATTGAACAAAAATTAGTGATCACATTCTGTTTACCCCTTCAAGGAATACAGACAAAGATTTTTTTCTAAAATACAAATACAGTAAGTATTTGTTTCAGATGAGGAACATACCAAGAAGGTTAGTTCGATGAATTATTATGCATATCGTTTGATGATTCGTGAAAATTATGACAACTATTTGTTGCGATTTCGTAGACTGCTTCAACAATATTGCGTTGACATGTACGTTAAAATCGAAACGGAGCGCCTGACTTTCATCGGTTGAACCAAGCTAAATTGCGTTCGGAAAAGTATATCCATTTACGCAATGCAATTAGCACAGAAGGAGATGCAGAAAATGTTGGTCGATTGATTATTTTACCGGCGACATACACAGGTAGCCCGCGTCATATGCATGAATATGCGCAAGATGCGCAAGATGCCAAGGATGAAATGATGCGAAACTCTTTGATTCGAGAGAGAGAGCTGTCAAAACCCACCTTTTTTATAACATTTGCTGGGGAATCGCCACAAGGTTTCCATTCGCATTCTGTAATGATCATCTGGAAATAAATAATATACAATTTTCGATTTAATTATGGTTGTATGTATATTAACATTTTAAAACAACATTTTAAAAACAAATTGAAGAAATGCCATCATCTTCAACAAGAACAAAAAAAATCAATCCCGAACGAGTAGAAATTTAAATTAGAAAAATGAATAGCAGTTAATGAAAGCACTCGGATATATGGAACGTTTGGACAAAATGTTGTTAGAGAAATACAGGAATTTCCTGAGGCTTATCAGCTTATGGCGGATATCCAAGTCTTATTAACAAGCCGAAGAATGGTATTGTTACAGAAAATCAGTGAGAAAAAAATGGTTAGCAGAGCATCGACACTGATTCAAAGACATAATTCCAATATTT